GTGTGTGTGTGTGTGTGTGTGTGTGTGTGTGTGTGTGTGTCTTAAAAATTCAGTTGCTTATATAAGTTATGTGTTTATCTCTCTAATAAAAGTTGGTGAATGAAGTCAATGTTGGCTAGATAGTTTTTCATGCAGCAATCCAGAGACCCAGCAGCTTTGTCTGGTTGCTCTGCCAGGCTGTGCATCTTGAGCTAGGTCAGTATGTCTGTATTTCTGTACAGTGTACTGCAGAAATAGAGAGTGAGAAACATTATAGGGTGTGCGGTTTTTTTTTTTTTTTGTATTTTTGTGGTACAGCAAGTAATATAGAAAATGAAAAAGGAGTCACATGGCCACACCCAGCCACAAAGAGGAATAGAAAATGTAGCCTCCAGATGGATGGCTGTGTTCCCAGCTGAAACTCAATTCCAATGGAAGAAGAGAAAAATAGATTTGGAAGGGAGGAGGAGCCAGAAGTCTATCACGCATAGGTATGCAGACACTACATACAAATCGATTTTTGGTTTCAGCTTTTTATTTTCATTTTTTTTTTGGTAGGGATTTGAAAAAAATAGTGCCAATTTTGTTTGCTATGGCTAGAGTGAGAGTTAAGCTGTCTCAACTTGTTAATCTGCAGCCAAACCTGTGTATGTCCTATAGCTGTAGATTGAAAATGAAGCCAAGTATGAAATGAACATGTGTTTCTTCAGGTCCTCCCAGAAGCAAGAAAACCAAAATGGGACTGAATGCACCAAAGTTTTATGGTGAAAACAGCAACAAATGATACAAAATTCAGCAACAAATGATACAAAATTAAGAATGAGAAAGCCACAATCCTTTCTCTTCCCAGTGGACACACCAGACTGCAGCATTTTATTACATTTTATTAACATGTTAGCCTGGCTTGAATAGATGGAGTAGAGTGCTCACAAAGGCTTAGAAGTTAGCTATAGTCAAGGCTGTCCCTGTAGCTCCCACAGTTCCTAAGCATGGTTTGCATTTCTTTATGCTTCGTGCTGTTTCAACCAAGACAAAGAGTTCATATAGATATTGTTGGTTTAAAGTGTAACTCTCCCACCTTAAGCACATGAACCATGTTCCTATTTTATGGAAGTAATATTCATGGCGCTCTATACACTGGGATCTTACAGACAGGCTCTTTCTGAAGGGATAAAGAACATGCTGGGGAGAAACCAGCTCCTTAGTTACTGTTGTGATCTAAACGATAATGAAGGGATCAGACACCCCCCCACCCCCACCGCTTCCTGTTTTGGCAGCCATGACAGGTTAACATTCGCTCACCTGACCTTGCTGGGCCTGTCCTGGTCACTTGGTCAGATGCCCTCCTCATGGAAAGGAACCAATCAGAAGTTAGCTGGTGGGGCTGTGCTTTATGTCTCTGGGTGTGCAGAGCATAGCAACTGCCCTGGGAGGGCCTATGGGCCATAGCAACCACTTTACTAATCAACACAGGGCAGGTCCTCCAAGCTGGAGGTGCACTAATCCTGAGACTGTTTGTACCTCTAGACAGTCCCCTTACGCTGCCCTATAAGATCCCTGTCTTATGGGAACGACTGGGCTGTTTCTCATATCTTCTTCCTTTTTTTTGTCTCATATTTTAGTAGGTGAGCTGGGTGCTTACTGCTAGTGTTAGAGTAAAAAACTCCCTATCAAGACAATGTACTCTCTCGCCTGCAGACCTAATATTTCAGTTGGACAGGGCCCTTCCCTCCGGCTGCCCTTGGACAGCTGGACTCATCTTAAGTTCAGTTTAGAGAGCTAGCTGGGCTAACTCGTTCTGCAGTGATATTCCTTTTCCTCCTAGACTCCAATCCCTTGTGCAGGGCTGCAGCTGTGTGGCTAGTAAGGCAGCCTGCCTTTCAGAAAGGAGTTATTTTTCCTTGTCTTCTATCTCTTCCCAAGCATGCTTTCCTAAACACCCTGGGCTTTCCCTCCCGACATTTTGTGCTTTCTTCCTGTTTGTCAAGCTTCCCTCCCCACTACGAAGCTGCTTGTTAGCCATGTATCTGCCTTCTGTGTCTGTTCCATTGCTGTCAAGAGACACCATGACCAGGACAACTCTTATAAAAGAAAGCATTGAATTGGAGCTTGCTTACAGTGTCAGTTTAGCCCATTATCATCATGGTTGATCAGCCTGGATGGCAAACATGGTGCTGGAGAAGTAGTTGAGAGCTACATCTTCATTTGGAGGGCAGGAGGAGGGAAGAAGGGAGGAGAGAGAGAGAGACAGAGAGATAGATAGATAGATAGATAGAGAGAGAGAGAGAGAGAGAGAGGGAGAGAGATTGGGTCTGGCATGAGCTTTTGAAACCTCAAAGCCCACCCTCAGTAAGACATTTCCTTTAACAAGGCCACACCTCCTAATCATTCTAATCCTATCAGTTCCACTCCCTGATGATTGAACACTCAAATATATCAGTTTATGGGAGCCATTCTCATTCAAACCTCCATAGACTCATGGCTGTTTACCTCAGCTCCTTCCTCCTCCTCCCCTGAGAAGCAGCTGAGCTTTATAGCTTACAAGTTTTATAAAACTGCCCTTGAGCTTTCAGTCCTTTCTTATTTTATTAATGAGATAAAGAGCTTCAAGAGGAGCTAGAGATGTCTCATCTGGTGACCACATAGAGACCCCTACAATTCCAGTAACCCCAGCAAAGTGGAAGAAGCCGAGGAAGAAGCTGAGGGTCTGGGGCGAGGTGTGTCGGGGCTGGAGAAGAGGGTGCATTATACCTCGTAGCATACCATCATATGGCCGACTATTAGCTGGGAAAAGATCAGTATTAAAGAACAGCTTCGATTCTTTGTGTGATCCTCGAATTTCTTAGGATTCTGTTGCTAGTCCTGTTTCTCTACCCTGTGAGGACTCATCAGTCTAATGCAATGATGAGTTTAGCCAGAATTTCAGTGAGGACATTTTTTTTTTAATTTTATTTATCAGCAGTGATTACATCTAGCCAGAAGCAGGAACTTAGCCCATTCAACCTGTTCTGCTTCTGCTATAGCAAGAAGGACACCAGAAAAACAGGGAATCCCCATGTGAAGTGTGCTATGCCTTCCTTGGAAGATAGCTAACTTCTGCTCTCTGTTTTCTTATTCTGAACATAACAACCAATTTACCATTTTTTTTGGTAAAGATAGACTAATAAAAGAGATACACGTCCTCCCCCCCCCCCCAAAAAAAAAAAACCTAGCTGAGGTATTTGTCACAGTAATTACCATTACCACTCAAATGTTTTCCTACTGGAGAAGCCAACACCACATGCCAGCGCTGGAGGTTAAAGGTAACCCTATGTCACGATTAAGCAGGGGCAGAGGGTCACAAGACCAGGCTGTAATTTGCCAAAATTGTCAGGGAGACTACACTCAATGCATGAGAAGATAAAACCTATGTGGCGTGGGCTTGGTAGAAAATGAACATCTCTCTGTGGTTTTGCACAAAGTGCTAAGGCGTCCCTCCAAACAGTTGTGTGGCAGGAGCCGTCAGCATCTACCTGCACAGCTGCGGCCCAGTGGCGACGGGAAGGCCATTTACAGGTGTCCCTGGGCAGGAGCGCCAGACTCCCAGGACCTTCCCCGAGCAGACTTCGCTGCTCGCCAGCCCCACTCTGGGAAGCCGGCGGCCGGGACTTGCGGTGGCCGCACAGGAAGGGCGGAGGCC